CCATATAGCATTATTACAGTATTACTGACTCTATTCCCTATGCTGTACTTTTCACCTCCATGACTTACTTATTTAATAACTAGAAGTTTGTACCTCTTCATCCCCTTTATCTGTTCTGCCCCCACCCGCCTTTCCTCTGACAACCACCAGTTTCTTCTCTGTATTTAAGAGTCTGTTTTCTTGTTTGTTTGCTCATTTGTTTTGTTTTGTTTTTTTTAGATTCCACATAATTGAAATCATATGGTATTTGTCTTTCTCGGACTTACTTCATTTAGCATAATATCTTCTAGGCTTATCCATGTTGTCACAAATGGCGAGATCTCATTCTTTTTTATGGCAGAATAATACTCCATTGAAAATACACCACATTTTCTTTATCCATTCATCTTGTGGATGGACTTGGGTTGCTCCCATATCTTGGCTATTATAAATAATGCTGCAATAAAAACAGCGGTGTAGGTATCTTTTCAAATTAGTGTTTTCATTTTCTTTGGGTAAATACAGTAGTGGAATAGATCATGCGGTACTTCTGTTTTTAATTGTTGGCCTGTTTTTACTTGAATCCCCCTAGTAGTAATTCCCATTCAAATATATTTTGTGTCTTCACTAACTATTAGTAATCCTATCTCCAAGGCACATTTCCTATGATTAAGATTTCAATTTTTTTTAATTGTCATTATTTTTTAAAATGCTACAGAAAATCCATGAATGAGCTTGCTTTGTGACCTTTACTAGAAATGTACTTGGCCATGTGATTCTTGGCATGATCCTCTGCTTTTTACTCCCAAGAGAGAAAAGCCTAACAGGAAGGTGGGTAGGCAAGGATGTCAAACACAATTGGTGTTGTCGAAGAATTTTTTAATATTCTATTAAATTAGCCCTGGGGTCAGAGCATATATCCTCCTCTTGGGGGTGGAGTACACATCCATCCCATGCTCAGAGAGCTGTAATAATAGCCATGGCCTCTCTGTGTAGATGTCTAATGAATGGAGCACATCTATTTTAGATGAATAATCAATTTTGAAATCCCTTGTTGTAGGTAAGCTGTTAAAACAGAAATGTTAACTTCACGAGTTTAATGAGTAGCTTCAATGATAGCTTAGTGACAGCGATGGAAAGAAAGTCAGGTAGGGAGCAGTGAGGAACAGTAGAATGAGGGTTTAATGAATATCCACTTGCACACTTGAATGTCAGCAGCAACGTTCTACCTCCTGGAAAATGTCTTTCAACTGTGCATCCCATTACTATTCCTGCAGCCCATGTAGCTTGGCGATTGAGGCAGAGTGTGTTTGTAAGAAAGCTCTCCTTTGCAACATAATGAGATCGAGGTGGGTAATTTGCAGAGATTGTTGGAGCAGTGGTCAAACCTAAAAAAAAAAAAAGAGAGAGAGGACTCAGCAGAATGAAAAGACCATGTGAAACAGGAGATGACTTATAATGAGCCCCGAAATCGCGTATCAGATAGCCAGCAGGCTGGCTTTTCCTCATATCCTTGTCTTCTCACTGCTAAACACTTTCTCTTGCTCTGTTTTCTCAATCTCTTTCTACCTCTCGTTTCTACCTTGTGCATTGAAAATATGAATGAATTGGCATCTCTGCCATTTGAAAAAATAAGAATGAAGCCTTTTTCATTATTCAACAGAAGTATTTGCCTAAACATGGGTGTATGGTATTATTTCAAATGCTTTTGAGTTCAAGGACACTTCTGTTTGTTGCATTCTTTTTTAAAACATGTCTAGTTTTTCAAGCCTCATTTTAACTCCTCATCTTTTCTAGATTCTGTGGCAATTTCTGCCATATAGTTTGGACAGAATCTGCCTTCTTTCTACAGCAAAAAAAAAGAAAAAAAAGAAAGAAACCAGGAGGACCCCTCCTCATTAGATGTTGACCAGGGGCAACACAGAAAGTTGAAATGAACTTGATTCTATCAAATGGTTCAATGGTCAGGGCATCACCACCTCTTTGCTTTCCTAGGCCTTTTACCTCTTGGTGTCTGTCTCTTTCCTATCTGAGAAATCAGTGCCAATCCCTAAATGCACGTCTGTAACTTAATAGCTAATGTAACACATTTCAAACAACAGAAAAGCTGTTTCTAGACATTCAATTTTATAGCATAATCTATTTTTGCCTATGGTATTCGTGGAATTTCTGACTTGGAAGAAAGATTAATGCTATCAAATATTTGCATCTATATTTAGATACAAACTTAGATTAGGCATTCATGATCGAGACTCCTTAGCAAGGCCTAAGGGATGTGATGTGTGTCAGGAGCTATCAGTAAAACCCTGACTCCTGCCTTGTGACTAGTCTCAGAACTTCTGTTACCTGTATCTGATGGTGGAGGTCTTGTTGGTGATCAGGGATAGTGTCCCAGTGAATACAAGGCCAGAGCCACATTCTTGGGGTTGAAGAAATGGACAAGGAGGTACTCTTTTAGAGATGTTATTTCTGTTCAAATTTTCCAGTGATGATTGAAGGGAGCTGGCAATTAGCCAAGAAAAACATGGTGGAGAAGGAGTAAGAAGGGATGTTTGGCAGAGTCGATTAGGAGGAATTTTAACAGAGTTTTTTGCCAGGTCCAGATATCACAGGTTAATGCCCCCAACTTTTTCTTCTTTAGAAAAAGAAGTGAGTACAGTGGGTTGACAAATGTGGGTAGCCTCTGACCATAGGGTTCTCTGCTTTCTAGCAAATTCTGAAAACTCTAATGGACGTCTAATGTACGTGAGGATGTAGTGTCTGTGTTCTTTCATGTGTCTGTGTTTGTGTGTGTGCGTGTGGGGGGGGTGTTATAAGGCAGGATGCTTAAATGCTTTGTTGCATTATGTTAATTCCTTGGCAGTGCAATCAAATTCATGTCGTAATTAAAGCTGTCAGTTGGAAGGCAAGCCAATCGCCACGAAAACACAGCATAACAAATGAAGTGAAATGATTCTGCGTGTAGCTATACAATGCTTCGCCAGGCATGAAATTAAATAAGTAATTTGATGTTGACATCAGAAATTGAAATGATACCCACTGTTCCCTCATTCAGTCAGACCTGCATAAACAATAGCCAGAACAAATATGCACAACAAAGTCCTCTTCTCCACCCAGCTCCCTGAGTAATGTACAATATATATGCAAAATGAGTGTAACAGAGCCTTCCGAGACCTGAAGGATGTAATTTCTTTTGGTATACAGTAAGATGATATGTATTGGGGGTGGGGAGGTGGGTTTGGAGGGGTACTTCTGCTTCTGGATAAAATCCATTTGCAGGAAGGAGGGGAAAAAAAACCTGAAATAAACAAGTCCCATGTTCTTTCTAAGTAGTTCATCCTAAAATGAGTTTACCTCCCCGGGGCATGACTCCAGGGTGGTGGAGACCTAAGTTGGCTTTTGCCTTCCTCTGTTCCAAGGAGGGCTATGGTACCGAAAACAGGTGATGCTGTCACATGGCTAATCACTGCGATGAGAAACTGTCTCCATGGCTACTGTGGATCTCCCTACATACCATTTATGGGATCAAGAATGCAGCAAGATTTTTTTAAACTAAGTCCAGTGTGCAAGATCACACATCGATTGTCCTTTATTCTCCTGAGCCTGTCTGAAAAACCTAGGTGAAGAAAGTTTTGCTTTGGGAAGTGCATTTAGGAATGCCCTGGAGCATACAATTCTTGTTTGATGTAGATGCTGTTCATACTTAGAGCACTGTATTTCCTTCTCAGAAAACAGTTTAAAATCAAGAAGATTCACATCTGCTGTATTTTTAGAGATGCTAAATTCACCTGATCTTTTTTTTTACCCTATGCAATCTGAACTCTCATGTATTTATACATTAATTCAACAAAAACTTGTTACGGGCATCCTGTGTGCAAAGCATTGTGCTGAGCACTGGGGAAGTGGTGATGACTTAACCGGGTGGTCCCTGCTACCTGTAGTTGCAAAGCAGGGACAGGATATGTGGGTGGAAGAGCTGGAGGTGAACTGAGTAAACACTGCTTGGGGGTGGAAGTCAGCACACCCCAGAGAAGGTGTAGCACCTGATCCATGCTAGTCAGGGAAGAGGCCTTGCTGGTGCACAGGCACCAAGCTGAGACCAGAAGACCGCCCCTGCACTAGCATTGTTTTTGTTTCAAGCTTATTTGGGGTCTTTTTCATTCACGAAAAGGAGACTAAAAATTAAAACATTTGTAATGAGAGGTTTTGAGAAAAAAGAGACAGAAGTACAAACACGCATGGATCACAGACAAGTTTAAAACAAAACCAAGTTCTCTTTTTGGCCTCTTTGCCTAAAGAAGTGATGCCCTGCAAGCCTTTCAGAATTATTATTTTTTTAGTTTTCTGAGTGTCAGAACTATGGAAGCCTAAATTGATAATTATTATGACTAAAACCTTCGGAAAAATGGTGCTTTTCACTGCTTCCCTTTACCCGCACATTCTTTGCATTTCATTCTACTAATTATGTTTACAAAATGTCTCATTTTTGAAAAGCGCTCTGTGTGTACTAACTGGTGCCTTTAGGGAATAAACTGGCAAGTAGGTCATACACTGGAAAAGTCATCCAAACCCACTGGGCTTTTATTTTCAAGTCAGTCTGGGCTTTTTCCTCTTGCCTGCCCCTTTGCGGCCACAAAACTGAGTAGCTTGAGACCAGGGCCTTGAATGTCAGCAAGTCAGGGAGGCAGGCTGATGCGTGTCTGTTTAGTCTCAGTGCAGGGCGAAATGCCATCATTAATTCATTACCCAGCTGCCTGTCAAATAAATTGGCAATTACGTCCACCGCAGAAGCTTGGAATTCAGTAAATAGCACGTTAGCATCTCTGAGTTGTTGAGAGATGTAAAGGGGAAAATTAAGCCAACACGGTGTTTGTTTCAGTAGCAGATGACAAGGGGCAGCATACACTAGTGATGTGATGTAGCGATGAAAAACCCGCAAAGGGCTGGTAATGAGCTGTGTGGATTGGAACGTGTTAAAAACCATTGCTGATTTTCCACTTTGTCTTTATGCTTTATTGCAGAGTTCAGCTCCTTCCAGCTTGGGAACAGGCTACTTCGTAAGTTTATCTCAACTTCCACATGTGTGCCTTGCGTTGGCCTTGATTTACCTCTATAATGTTCACTCATTAGGATGTGAAAAAAAATCCAAGAAATCCCCTCTCAGTCCTAAAGAGCAGACTGATAGGCATCTTTTCATTGGGATTATTTTATTTTTAAAAGACATAAGCTGTGGGGCCCTAGGGATCCTAATTCAGTGTGAGATGTGTTTCGCAGGGCACTTCCTCCTTCCCCAGCAGTGTAAAGGAGACCTGATTGGTTTACGCCACCTTGCCTACATAATTGTTTTTTTTTTTTTTTTAGTGACAAGTGTCATGTGGAGGATGGAATTCAGATTATGCATTGAGGTTTTTATTCACTTTAAAGAACTTCCCTGCATAATACAGTGAATTGCCTTTTTTAAAATAATTTTTTTGATGAGAGGTGGTGTTTTAATGGATGTTTTCCCTTACAGTGTGAGTTCACAGCCTTTAGATTTCCTTTGAGCAATCACGAACTTCTCATTTTAGCAAATACAAGTGTGTTATTTTATTTTTGGACATTTCTCTGCCCTTCAAGAGGGGTAGGGATGGTGTCCTTCCTCAGGGATTATCTCATAGATATTTTTCTCATAGAGAAATTGTCACTTTATTTCTTTTATTGATAGCAAAATTACCCTTTCTGGATTCAATAATCTTTTTTCAAGGTCTAAATAAAGAAGAGTTTTACAAATAGGCATTATTTACACAACAGGAAAACCTACCAATGTGGAGGTTTTTTGTGGTATTTAAAGGAATCTGATTTGTGTTCTGAATGATGAACACTGATACTCAATGCCTGCTCAGCTTTTTCTGAGAAAATAATGAAATCATGAAAATAAAACAAAGTGGAAAATAATTACTGACTGATTCAGTTTAGTGGCCTTTAAATTTCTTTCCTCTAAAATGCTAATTACGCTGGTTTTCTTCTGCCCACACGTTTCTCTTCATACATTTACATTAAATATATGAAAACCAGCATCATTCCGTTGAATGATAAGTCTTTTCCAAGCTTGGCAGAAGTAGCGTATTCTAAATGTTGATTTTTTTTTTTTTATCTTAATCTATGATAATGAGGAGAGAAAGGGTAAGGATAAAGATTTTTTTGTACCTGCTTAATACAGTCAGCACACTTATCCTTGCTCCTTATTGTGGCTGAATATTCATGCTTACAGAAACATGCAGGATGCTGAAGCAGTCGAAATAACAGAAGTGGTCCATCTGCCATGTCTTCACACCAGGCTGGATGTGGGTTGAGATGCTGGAAGTAAAATCTGGAGACTGCCAGTGTCTGTTCTCTGTCCAAAAGCTAAATTGTCCCTCTTGGCTTTCTTCAGTAGAACAAGGCCAAAACCACTAACTTAGCCCTTGATCACTTTGAGACTGAACATTCTAGTATTTTTTTTTTTTTATTGTCAATATGATAACCCTGAAAGAAGAAAGTCAGTGGTAGAAACCTCAAAAATTTTATTATGCTGTTTGTCACTTTTTTTCTAATTCCAGGAGTGTTTCTTTTTTATTCTTTAATAATACATTCTTTGAGGAAAGTCTGCAGTTACAAATCTAAAATGATTTTTATATTCACACAGTGTTGGAGGAGTATAAAAGTTTGTCCTTTGGTAAAATTGCTCTTAGTATTAATTGGCTTACATAAAAAAAAAAATCTGTGGTATTATTAGCTTACACAGAAAACATACGTACCAGATGCATGGTCAGCTCTGAAACTGTGACCAAAATGCTCTACTTAGAATATGTTCCCAATAATGGGTTTATTCTGTTATCGAAGTGCAAAATCCATTGATATTATTGCCAAGTTCTCATCAAAAAGTGTCTTCTGTTTCAATTTTCATGCCAGCAGTATCACATGTAACACTTGATTTCAGGTACTATTGGGGAGTTTCATGCTCTTCTAAGTGGAAATAGTATACTCACAACTTACAAGAGTTTTGTGTCAACATATTCTTTGTTGTGCTTTATGATCTGGGATGTCAATATTAGCCTTTACTTACGCTTGTAATGAAGGCTTAACATCAGGTAAGTGGAATGGTGATACGTGGGCTCTATCCTTACTTCTTTTCAGCATCTCTCCGAAGTGTGGACGGAGACACTTCACCTTCAGAGTCTCCGCGTTACTAATGCAGTTGAACCATAGTGGGAAGTCTGGTGTCAGAAAACTGAAGGCACTCACCTGTTGGGTTTAACGACCTGGAACTGTTTTCTTACATACTCTCCCTTGCCCCAGTGTTACTCTAACTTCACAATTTCCTTTCGTTTAGAGTTTATGCTCTTAAAGACCTTTTAGTGAACTAGGGTAAAATGCTGATCATTGTGTGTGCTAATAAAATAGACACCCACCCAGGTACGTACACACACACACACACACACACACAAGCTCACGTGTGCGTGTACAACCCCATCCACAGCCAGTATATTCTTCTTTCTTTTGGTCTCCCATTTATCAGTCGTGATGTTAGAGAATTTAAAGAAGAATCCTTTGTTTTTGATTTAGTTGTATTTGTTTATATCTCTTTGGTTTTGTGTTCCAAAGATGTCTGCTTAGGTCTGTTACTTTTCCAATTCATTTATAAGCTGAAGATTTAAGAAATGAGAACAGCAGCTAAAATCAGTATTTACATAAGCATATTGCAAAGGATTCTTAAAGTAGACAAAATAAAGAAGGATTGGAACAAACTTTTCACATTTTTGGGAGCTTTTGAATAATGTGGGTGTTATACACACAGAGAGACACACATATATATTCATTACTTACTCATGCCCAGCTCATATTCTAAATATAAATGGAAGTATAGACTAGTTGGAATCTATTTGCTTTTTTTTATTTTGGCAAGAGTACCAAAGCTTGTTGGAGTGTGTAGGGTTTTTCTTTCTTTTTTTTTTTTTTTTAAACGTTAATGCAGTGAACATGTTTTCATTTTAATTTAAATGTTTTGGGCTATATTCTCTTCTTATACATGTATTTGAAGTATTACTGTGCATAGTGGATAATTAAGAACTTAGAGACAGGCTGATCTGAAGCCTGGTTGTGTGACCTTGGGCAGGTTATTTAATATCTGTAAATCTGCACCCACCTACTAGAGTTGTGAATTCTAAATGAGACAAGGTGTTTAATGCATGCAGAACAGCTCTCATTAATAGCAAATAATTCCCATTATAGTGTGTGATGGACAAAACTTGGTCTCATTAAGTGGCTTTGTAATGTTGTGGTAGGTAGAGGATCACCACCAGAAATCAGTGATGTAAGAAATAAATTTTGGAATTTGTAGCTGTAGGTCAGGAACATTCTTACAGCTTTCTGAGGAGCCTATGTGTGTTCGGTCAGCCGTATACCACTTTACTCCATATGTGAACAAATAAACATAGAAATTCACCATGATGTTAGAATGAACTATTCCAGGCTGTCCATGTATTACAGTTGTTTAATTTGTCCATTAAAGTCATTTGCTTATTTTTTCTCTCAGACTTGAGGCATTTAAAGACTGCTAATAGCTCTTGAGGTTGGGCTGGAAAAGTAAGAAAGATCGGTTTAACACCTTCAGGTGTTAAAAGGTTGTGTCCCTTATTTGCTGCTCCCTGACCCCCAAAAGAAAAGTGGTTGCCCTAGCATACCTGAATGAAGTAACCGAAGTCAGGAGAGTGACAAGACCAGAGAAGACCTCTCCTGGTTGCCAGTGCTAGCACTTGAGCCCATATGCCAGCAGTTGGGAGCCACTGTTGGCATAAGGGTGACTGACTTGTCTGGCTGAACTTGATCCCTGGTGTGTAAAGGAAGCTTTCCTTCATTCTGGTGACATGTCCTGCCTACTTTTCTGGATAATTTTCAGCCTTCTTCCAGGTTTGAATCTAAGTGTCGTAGGCCCATAGTCTCAAACAGCTTGGATCCTGCTTTTGTAAACTCCAGTGATCCAGAGATTTTCCATAATGGTTCCCAACTAATAACTTTAATTTTCCTCACTTGCATCACATCTAGCTAAATGTAAATGTAAATATACATACTTTAAGATTATCAGGGAAACCAGTCCACTTAAACCTAATGATTAAAACTACCACATTACGTAATAGAGGGGAATTGTGGAGTGGTACACTTCTTAAAATGGGATGTGCATGATTACTGCTTTCCTGTGCACTCAAATTACTTAAGAAGTTGTGTTGATAGGGCACCTGGGTGGCTCAGTTGGTTGAGCGACTGCCTTCGGCTCAGGTCATGATCCTGGAGTCCCGGGATCGAGTCCCACATCGGGCTCCCTGCTCGGCAGGG